AAATCTCAAATTTCCTTTGTGTAATCCCTAAAACCTTCTAAATGCAGTTCAAATGTTTTTTTTCACTAAATCCTTATAGTTTATATGCTTTTTTCTCTACTCTATCTCAAAACGAGATTGGTCAATTCGACCAACCTCGTAACCACCAAAAAAATCAAAATAAACCTAAATTAACTTTTTTTTATTTCTAGAATTACTTCAAATTGTAACCTTAAACTACATTCATTTATCCTAAGTAGCTCTAAGTTCGTAACATTATACATCTATTTATAATTAAATTTTATTGTTTTATTGCCCTTTGAACAGTGTCTAACTGCCATCCCCGCCATTATAAGTTATATCACTCGGGGGGATATGTAGCTCACGTTACACTATCGAATTAGATTACCCACGAGCTGCTTGTTTGCGTGTCTTGTAAACCATTTTAATTATATTATTATTATTACTTATTTTACCTAATCTAGTCTTAAATACCTTAAAAAGATCCATACTTTTAATTTTAGTTACTTTTGTAATAATAAATAAAGAATAAATATGAAAAACAAGAAATAAAGTACTTACCCAATCTTCAATTTTATTGCCCTCAATTGTCGAGGAGAGTTAAGCCTGATTTTCTTTTAGTGATTATAGTAAAGCACTTAAAAATTTTTATTTAATTAAATTATACACCAAAGAATATAGACTAATAACAGGCAAAAAGTAGACAAATTCACTTACTTCTAAAAATTTTCCTGGCTTTCTAACTATGAGACAAAAGCCGTTACAAATTCATCCAAGCTAGTCATTAACTTTCCCATGAGAACAATGTTGCTACTCTGAGTGAAGTTGATGGTTATCTGTTCAGAACACAACATTATACAATAAGCCATTTGATAGATGAAAACCTTGACTTTCTATTGGTTATAGGTAATATATAATGAAACATAAGAGAGAACTATCAATGAATTGTGAAAGAGAGGATGTGACAAGTGGGTGTGGCAAGAGGGAGTCTGATTTTGTATTTGATAGCTCTGTAACCAAACAGAATTGAAGGCTATAACAATTATGGCCTGTTTGAGCAATAATGATTTTATACAGTAATTTGCATTTAATTCTGTACTTTTTGGTGGGGTGGTGGATAAAATAGGGATGATGACATGCTAAGACAAAATGTGTCATGTGGGTAACACTAGTAGAAGTTCAGGATTTTTTTATATATTTCCTTGTAGAATTAAGAACATAAAACTTGTATACTATTAAAATATGGATTATTAACTAATATTTTATGTTAATCTAATTGGTATAACATAAACAAAAAGTAGTTTAATAAAATTAACTAATAATCCATATTTTAATAGTATATAATTATTACATTCTTAATTTTATAAGGCATTATTAAAAAAACCCTGAATTTCCCCTAGTATGACAATTGTGATATTTTCTCTCTAGGCATCCTCTCTTCTCTAATTTATTTACCACCCCTTCAAGAATGTATACTAGGAAAAGTAAGAAATTTAACATAATTTACACAATATAATGTCATCATTGCTCAGGCAAAGCATAATTTTCAAAGCCTTCAATCTTATTTGGTTACAGAGCCATCAAACAGAAAATCCGACCCCACTTGCCATTCCCACTTGTCACGTACTCTCTTTCAGAAATTGCCAATAATTCCCTCTGATGTTCAAGACTATATTATATGTAACCAATAGAAAACCAAGGTTTTACTCCATCAAGTGATGTATTATATTATGTTCTTTTCTGTACAGAGAATTGTCAGTTTTGCTTTCTGTTCAAGCTTTATTCCCACAGGAAACACATCAACAAGCTTAGATTAATTCTTAATGGCTATTGTTGCATACTTAGAAAGCCAGAAAAATTGTGATAGTTATGGGACATTGTCTGCTTTTTACATGCTATTATTCTGTGTTTTTGATGCATTATTTAACCCTATCATGATGGGTCACGTGTCAAAGGCCATGTCATCACTTTTGTTGACTTGCATTCGAAATTTTATTGAACTACTATTTTATGAATTTTTATCAATAAGTTTGGTAT